GTGACGGGTGGCTGGTGTCACCTTGTATGGAAGGCTCGCTCGCCAAGGCGGCATGTAATAACGATGACTCTCTTGATTGTAATAAATTAGATTTTATTATAGAGTGGAATTAAGATTTGTTTGTACGACGTTGAGTAATTTCTCGTTTGAAAAATGTGTATTACGAGCAGTAACGAGACCGGCAAATCTCGTTGGAAACACCAGTAATTTTCGCGCACTGAACGGTCTCGCGGTACGCTTATGCCGATCATGTTATGTAACAAAGGGCACCAGTGATATGCAACGACAAGTCGATTGGTTCACACTTAATATTCGCGAAGATGCATTGAGAGCGAAGAGCGATATATGATGTGTATTGATCGGGATCGGGCGGCGAACTCACTATTTTCACACGGAACGGTGTGCGCGATCGACAGTTTTCGGGATTTGTGCAAGGGGGGTCGCGTGCCATTTGAGACAAACAGCGTGATTAGCACAGGAGCGAGGTATGCTCGTGTTTTGACGGATCGGTGTCGATGAGTTATTTGTCTGCTCCGAAAATATGAAAGTAACGATAATTCCAGAACAATATATATATATATATATATAATTTAATAGCTACATAAATATAATTGTAATATTCAATAGCTATATAAATAATGTATATTATTGACCGCTAAAAATTTAGCTCTTGTTAACGTGCCTCTCAAAAGATTTTTTTGTTTAGATATTGTGATGCATTTCCCTTCATAAAATATTTGTATTTCGAAGTAAAATGTTTATTAAAATAATAATTATTAATTTCTTTCTTTTCTTTGATCTTTTTCTTCTAATTTTATGGCACTCGCCATCGAAATGACGATGATTCCGGCCAAACTGGGACAGTAACTTCTTTTCTTTGATATATGAAATTAAAATATATATCAAGCATTGAAAGGGTAAACTTAGATTTGTATTATATGTGAATTAACAATATATCATCGAAGTACTGAGATTCGCCATTTCACTGGCGCGGGCATTTTTCATGTTGGTACGACGTGAGAAAGCTATCTAGTCCATAGTTATATAGTCAAAGATTCAAGTATAATCATTCTTTTTATTAACTTTTAAAATTGTATGACATTTCATTGCTTGTATGCAGTATTTTACATGGTGGCAAATAATTATTTTTATACGATTGTGGATCTTGTGTTTGTGTACGTAGGCTACTGGAAAAGTTTCTGCAATCTATTACTTCCAGTGGCGCCAACGTTCTGCTACTATCATATCCGTAAAATTAAACGTTTTTAACCTATAATTCAATTGACAGTTTGTACCCAAGCCAACTAGTTTTGTTTGTATAGTATTTTAAAAGAAGTTATTTTGTAAGAAAATGGAAATTTTGCGTGAAAATTTTCGAGCAATGATTTTTTACGATTACAAATGTAATCTAACTCCGAAACAATGCATCGACTTTATTTGGCTTTTGGGGATGAAACACCATCCAATAGGACTGTTTATAATTGGTTTGCCGAATTCCAGCGTGGACGTACCTTTCTTAGTGATGAATTCCGTGAAAGTCGTCCATCCACGTCTGTTGTTGCCACTAATGTTGATGCTGTGAGTGAAATGATTGAGCGAGACTGGCATATAATATATCGCGAGATTCAGGCATCCTTAGGCATTGACATGAAAACAATACATACGATTTTGCATGATCACTTGAGCGTATGGAAACGCAGTCGTTGGATCCTACACAATTTGACTTAAGCTCAAAAACAGGCTGTTAAATGGAGCAAAGAAATGCTCAAGAAATTCAACCGAGGTCAGTCAAATTTGGTCTACAACATCGTTACTGAGGACGAAACATGGATCTATTCGTATGAGCCCAAAAGTAAACAACAATCCACTGTTTGGGTATTTCAAAATGAACCGAAATCAACAAAAGTTGTTCGTTCACGCAGTGCTGCCAAGCAAATGATTGCTTGTTTCTTCGGTCATGTGACAACCGTGGCTTTAGAGGATCGAAGGACTGTAAATACTGATTGGTATACAACAATTTGTTTGCCAGAAGTCATAAATGAATTGCGTAGAACAAACCGAAATTGTCGCATCATCCTTCATCATGACAACGCCAGCTGTCACACAGCACGTCAAACCGTTGATTTTTTATCCAGTAATAATGTCGAATTGATGACTCATTGTCCGTATTCACCTGATTTATCACCTAATGACTTCTTTTTGTTCCCAAACATTAAAAATAAGATGCGTGGTGAGCGATTTGAGTCGCCTGAAGCAGCTGTTGAAACATTTCGTACACTGATTTCTGAGGTTACAGCCTTAGAATGGAAAAAATGCTTCGAAAATTGGTTCGAGCGTATGCAAAAATGTATCGATCAAAAGGCGAATACTTCGAAAAACAATAAAGCCATTTACCGAATTTTACATGTTTTTTTTCGTATTGTTTGCAAAAACTTTTCTAGCAGCCTACGTATCATGTATATTGTGCAGATTATGAGAAAACATTTCTTCCTCATTAGTGCTTGCGTATTGATATAAATTTAGCCCTCCTTGTGGAATATTTTCTAAACTTGTTGTTTCTGGAGTTATAAAATCTAATAATTCATCTTCTAATGGTGATAAATATATTTTTATTGGAGATCCTCCATCTGTTCCTGACACAATTTCTTCGTTTTGTTTCTTTCTTTAAAACATTTTCCAGTCTTTTCATGTCTACAAATGTAAAGCAAATACAATTATCTATAAATAATAAACTTTTATAACTTTAACAACTTAACAATTTATTATCTGTGAATATTTATAATAACTGTAACTTTTACTTTTAACTTTCATATTATTTCAAAACAGTATAAGTTTATTATTATTATACCTTAAACTATTTAAAACTAGATTTACTGGGACCTTTATGGCTATGTTTACAGTATTTGACATATTATGCAATAATTCTTTTTAAAATTTCGAAGCAATATTTAATATAATTGTAGTACAACTATCCCAGATAGCACAGAATATTTATTGTAAATGTTTATTAGTATTCATTTTTTGAAATGTAGCGACTTGGAAGGAAGAAGCGGAATATCACTTGAAAGAAAATCGTTTGCTTTCTTTTCACACTCAAAGACAATAAACTTTATTGAAACACAGAAGAGATTGAGACTTTCTACAGCACAAAATCACCACGAACAGAGAATTACTTTCGGATGGAAAAGCACAACTGTAATGTAACTCGACTGCTGCAAATTGCACCGCTCAGAAAAAAACTGATAGACTGACTGAAAGACTGACGTACCGTGACCATGCGGTACCTTATATACTGGTTCCAGATTGTTCCCGAAAGTATTATACTAATAGTAAAAAAAACCGGATGTGATGAAAAAAAGGAATAATCGAGAAAGTTCTCGTTTGTTATAGTAAAAAACATGAGAACAATCTGGAATCACCTTGATACGTACTTTACAATTTTTATCGCGTTTTGTTATGCGGAGATTGACTGGTGATCGGCGCGTCTGTTATTGGCTGCCGTGTCGCTGTGGCGCCTTGCTTGGCGAGTGGCTAATGAGGACAGTGCTACGCGCTGGGCGCAGTCCTTATTGGTCACTCGTCGTGTCGCGTTGTTTTGCGTCATGCGTGACGTCGTCACGCGCGAAATATTAAGTTCGCATGAACTTAATGCATGCTTTATAAAATTAAATAATGAACGACCTGTCACTCCGAACAAAATGTTATGTAAATAATTTATACATATTTTATATAAAGTTTTAATCGAAATATTATTAAAATATAGACTAAATATTTTATATAATATTTATGATAAATATAAATAAATATTTCTATTAAGTATTTTTAACTTGGATTATAATGTCATTTAGTATTTACACATCGTTTATTATCTGGAGACACGGTAATGTTTCAGTATTACAGTAAGACAAGCGAAGCATCACGGTAACATTTACAATAAATATTTCTTAGTATT